CGGCGTGGCACAGCAGAAGCCACAGGTACAAACTTTTCGATGCCCACCACATTTTTTTAATGACGAGCGAGTCATACAATCATCGTAATTATTTAGTTTTGTGTTTTTATTCACAGTGAATGGTTAGATGTGTCATGGCATAGCATAGGCTGAGATCTAGTTTATTCTTTGTGCATGTGCAGAAAGACCTTTGGCTTCGTTATTAATAATCTTTTTGTTAGGTTCTGACTTTGCTGTTTGGCCGTTATTTACTTACAAACCATCCTTGGGCAGTCTCAGACGCTCCAGTGGGTCAGACGTAATCAGACAGACCTTGCGCCCAAACCAGAGGCTGAAGAGGATTTTCCACTTGGAAATTAATAGACGATATCAAATTAAATAAGCCATGTAAAATTTGCTGGTTGCATTTCTCCCCTTTTTTGTTTGTACTTCAGGGCCTGCAGTAACAATCCGTAGACAGACGCGCAGTTTTCAGGCAATTCAAATAAAAAATGGAAAAAAAAAAAAAAAAAAACGTCTAATGAGGCTCCTCTGCAACAACCTTTATCTCACCGCTGCCTTCAGAAACAATGGCAGCTTACTTTTGCGTCTCAATCGCATGCTTCCAGGTGCAGAAAATAAAAGCTTTGCTCGTCCTGCGTGGGGCTTTTTAAATGTTCTGCAGCTCGCTCTTTGATGTTTGTATGTTTAATTGGATGATCAGATGAGATAAAACGTGTCCTGTGAAAAACTGCAGACTGATATGCTCGTTCTGAGTGATATTTGGGCTACACTGATGGGATGCTGATGCGAATCAAAGAATGAGTAAAAAGGAGTTTCTAATCTTTTCATCTGACATTTTTATTGAATGCGTCTTGGAGCAACCGAGGGCTCCTTTAAGACCCTGCCAGAGTCACTTAAGGAAATCAGAGTGGGGGTTTTGGGAGCCTGCAGGGGTTCATTAGGACCAGACTGGTCCTGCTTCCTCTGCCAGAGAGGAAAAGGAGAACACAGAAACACAGAGAGAGGAATGAAGAGAGGTAACGACCAGAGAATGAGGGCTGGCGAGCGTTTGAGGGAGGTGGGTGGTGACCAGTCAAAAACCATGGTGAGAGACGGCAAGAAATACAGTGGGAAGAGAAACTAACCACGGGAAAAGGAGTGCGACAGGCGGGGAGTGGAAGGAGAGAGACAAAAAAAAGAAATAAGAATGAGGGAGAGCAAAGGGAGACAGTGAGTGCTGCAATGCCAGTCTATCCTGTGACAGCTTGACACCGCAAATCAAACTAAGAAATGAAGACAAGTAACGAGACAACCGTCACCAGGATCACTGCCAGTCGGGCTGTTACCTATAGGCTACGGCACTCAAAAGCCATACACTTTTCATTGTGGCTGTCACATTGGGGAGTGCTCTAAATGAAAACAGACCTCTTCCCTTCTTTTTTCTTTTGTAGTGTGTGTTTTTTTTATTTTTTTCTCTTTCTTTCTTTAGGTAAGGTACTGTAGGTCGAAGTGGAGCTCTGTCCTCAGCACACAGAGGGATGCATTGTATGCTTCTTTCTATTGAGTGAAAGAGCTGGATAAGGTCTCTGTTCCTATTTTCCTCTTTGCACTGGAAGACATTCATCACCCCTCCCTCTGATAAATGGCTGCTGTATACAAAAACGCACATATGGTTGCACAGACACGCTTACAAAGGCACGTCCGTACAGACCTACTTCATGTTGGGGTGGATTTAGTAGCTCACATGTGGTATTTGCGGAGTCTAGTCTACTAGTTGGAGAGATTCGGGGCCCAACAGGCTCGCAGAGGGTTAAACGTCCTTCCAGACATCCGCTGCTTTCTGTTAAACTGACGGCAACTGAACGCGTCAGCTTCTTACTGGCCGTCTCACCGGGTCCGACCTGGTAAGATTTCACTTTCAACACGAGTCCGAACCGCCTGCTGTCACATTAACAGATAGACACGTACGAGCAAAGGCACTCTGAATCGTGTGAAGCGATTTAGGGAAGACTTTTTCCCACTTTTCAGCACCGATATCGGTCCAAAAAAACATCACAGAAAGCAAAAGACACAGTTTGCTGTCCGCGAGAATCAAACTTTACTGCCAGAAAAACCGACACTGACAGCTTAGAACCATCATATTCAAGAATAACGAATGTAATCAGGGTTTTTTTCTCCAAAAAATGCATTAAGACAGGAGCTAAAGTTTAGTTTGTTGCTTCCAGCTGTTTGTAGGAGTTTCTGATCTAAGTTTATTAAATACCTGCAGCATCAGACTTTAGTTTAAGATCTCTACCTCATTATTTATGACATTTTTTTCCCAGTTTTTTTCTTTTTATAACATCTTATAATTATTTCACAGCCTTGAGATGAGCCACTTTGCATTTCGCTGCACATCCTGGACGAGCACGTGACGGATAGAAACTCTTGAATCTTGAGTGTCAGCGAGTCGTGCGCATTTTTGCACGCGCGTGCATCTTAATTAAATAGTTAAAATTATTAAAATCTACCCGACATGGAGACAGGGTGGATCAGGATCTAACAGCACTGTGTATTTTCCTTCACCTCAGACAGGTGTGAGATGTCACACAGAGTCACACTTCATCAGCTGCGGGTAAATCATTAGTTGTGTAATTAATTTGACTATTGGTGAAGTAAATTATCATCACACACGAACAGAATACTCAGTGTTTAGGGAATCATGAATAAACAAGGCTGCCAGTTATTTGAAGAGTTCCATGCTGCTGTTAGTTTATTTATTGGTGCGTTATTGCGTTTTATACATCATTTAATGTTCTGTCCAATCGCGAGGAACATTAAAAGAAACGTCGTCTGAACGATCAGATGCTGATGAAGCGGCCATGTTGTGTATTCCATGTCAGAAAATGGCTAAATATGGAGATTCACTTACATCTAAACACAGAAGCTTCCTTGTAGAATCATATTCAATGCTTCTTGGATTCAGTCGTGCTGCAAAAAGACGGTTTGGGTGATTCTCTTAAGCCTTCCCAGGTTACATTTATCATACAGCTGGCTGATGATGGACTAATGAACATTCTTGCAGTAGTTTCACTCTTTCTGGTCTCCCCGAACCCTATGGCTTGATTTTGATTTAAATATTATTTTTACATCGCCGTTCCCAAATGTGCCACAGTTTTGTTTCAGCTCTGGTAAAGGCTAGTTCAGAGGACGGAGGGAAAAAAAGAGGGATGGAGCAGAGAACCAGCCCTGCAACCCTCGAGATGCTTTTGCATGTTTCAGTAAAAGGAGCTTTCACATTTTTGCTGCTCGTCGTGAGAGAGTGAGAAAAAGAGAAAAAAAAAAAAAACATATTTATGGTTGTAAACAGCTTGATGTCGCACACCAGTCTGTTTTCTCATCTCGCTGTCTCTCCATCCTTTACCCACACTCCTAATTGGTGGATAGAATGGATCTACAATAGGCTCTAAAACCTGTGATTAGCTCAGTTTTGCTCTGTTGCTGAAATCAGGATTTGCGATTGGCTGTTGTGCCGCTTTGATGTGTTCAACTGTATCCAACGGCTTTTTTCTGAAGGAAGACGGGAACAGGATGAGCAGTGTTTCTGACACAAATACTCGTTCTGACTGCAGATTAAGACGACTGGGAAGGAGGAATTTCCAGCCAGACGTGAAGAACTATCGGCTACAATTATCATCTATAAGCCTGATGTGCTTTGGCCAGTTGCTTTTTGTTGGAGTTCATAAACCAGCTATTGTATGCATTAATTCTACATTATTCTGGAGTATGTGCAGACATATTTGATCACAGTGACAACCAAAATTAAACACACTAAAAGGTGACGCGTTAAGGAAGGGTTTCACTGATTATTACTCTCTGCATTCATATTTTTTGTTGGATTGAAACACAGCAACTTGGTGAGAAAGTCCCATTTGCTATATAGAGCCCCGCACAGGCCCCTAATTGGATTCTGTATTTTTTTTTTTTTTGCCTCACGTTATCATGCGATTACCTGCACCTCGCACTATTATTAAAGCCCTTACAGATCTAATAATATCGAAACCACCCACTCGTACTATTGTTCGCACATAAAAAAGAAAAATAGGTGGTTTGAGCAGTTTGGACGGCGTCAGGAGGAGCCCCGACTTATCTCGACAATCAAGGTTTATCAACCTCAGCCAGCCTTTCGGTGCGCATCTGTTGCATTGTCATTTGAAGTCACCTCACAGGAAGACACCATCCCAGTCACAGGTGCCAGTTCATTCACCCTCCCGCCGCACTTCTCTCTATTTGTCGGCCTCTTTTGTTGTCTCACATAATCTATTTCTCACCTTGGGAGAGAGAACGAGGGAACATAACAAAGAGTGAAAGAATTGATTTGTTGTGTCAGGTATAATAACTGATATTTGAATACCTTGCACTGGTGCTGGAAACTGTTCCGTTAAGAAAGGAAAGCTGCTCTTGAATTTTTTTAATTTTTTTTCCTCCCTCGGATGATACCGGCTTTGTACCTCAAATCACAGGTGGCTTTTTCTGTTCTTGCTCAGCTGAATCTCTCTGAGCGCCGCTGATTGTGTATGATGGCGCCGAGCTGAGCGACGGTAATTCTCTGATGCGCACAAAGATATTATCGGCGGCTCGGCATAGTAGGGGCGTCGATCTGTCGTTAGCGCACTTCTGCTACTGAGTCATGCACCAGGGTCACTTGTGTGGCGAGCGTTTAACCCACGCAATCTGTTTGTATGCATGCGTTCGTGCGCGAGGCAAGGATTTAAAGGCTAAGAGTTACCAAGTGTCCTTCAAAGAGAGAGAGAAAAAAAAGCCTCATTTTCTGTGTCTTTCTCCTCTTTTCTCTCCTCTCCTTCTTGAGGGAACAGATCTCTTTTTCTTTTCGAAAGATGTCCTAAATCCACTCCTGTAATTGCATAGCATTTCTGTCTGCTGAGCTGAGAAGAAAGAACAAAAAAAAAAAAAATGAGATAAAGCAGAGAAAAATCCTGAATATTCTTTCAATGTTTCTCCTCTCTCTTCTCTGGCAGATCAATCGAGCGCCGAGCTTTGGGACCGATCAGAAGATTGATTACGATGTGAAGAAAGGGGTGCTGCTCAACGCTCTGAAACTCCTCAACATTAGGTACTGTTTTCCTGCACGCAGACTCACACAAGCTGCATCTCGCGGCCCGTTAGGTTTCACAGGCAGAGCTCGTGTCAAAGCAAATGTCTAAAGATTTCAATCAAGTCTTTTAGTTTTCTTTATTTGGCAGCCGGGGGAAAAAAAATCCAAATTACTTTGATGCGTTGCACAATTCAGCTTTTATCTTGTTTTGATCTCAGGCTGATGAGACAATAGTGACGTTAATGTGAGCGTAGCAGGAGGCTTGAGCTTTGGACAAATAAATTATGGCCCTTGTAAATCCGTGTGTTTCTGTGGTGCATACAAAAGGCAGGTAATGGCCAAGGCACAAAGCTGGGCCTCCACTGTGCACTTTGTGTACCCTTCAATTAGACAAGCCGTGTGTGTGGGTGAGTTTCTGGATCTGTCATCTTTACCTGTACGCTGCTCTAGTTTTAAATCTGCATTGTTTACCCCGCTCTGTGTATTCACATAAGCGTCCTGTTTTACTTTGCTTTGCTGGTGTATTCGTTTAGCTTGCTGCTCTTATTGTGTAATGTGTTTTTTTTGTATATGTAGTGTTTGTGTGTGTGTGTGTGTGTGTTTGCTGGCTTGCTTTTCTGTCCCCTGGCTACAGTGAGTCTGTCCACTGATTGATCATTGCACACCAGACCTCTGGATCTCTGCTCTCTTTTTCTTTTTCTCTGTGCTTGTCCTCCTCTTACTGCTCTAAATATAACCTCAACTCCACCAGTCACACACACACAAACACAGTGCACACACACACACACACATACACAATGGATCAATTACATGCAGCACCATAGATCTAGTTTGGCCAAGTGTGGTGCAGCAAGCCCACAAGAAAAAAAAACAAAAAACCTCTTCCTCGGCTTCAGCTGGCACAAACAAATCTCTTATCAAAATGATTTGTTTCGTGGCTGATGTTTGCTGTGTTCCCACAGATTAAAAGGGGAGATTTGGTTATTTCATGACAAATAAATCGTAGGAGGCCTTGAAAGGCTGCAGGAAGCTCTTTCTACTGGACAAACAGTTTTTCATGCCGGATTGAATGAGGGGTTTTGTTGGACTTCGCTCACTTTTTTTCCTTATATAGTAATGACTTTGCTTCCCCCAAAGGGAGGGGTCGGCGGCGTGCGGAGGTAATGTCGGCTCTTGACTCTGCTCACAACACCAACTGTATCAAATGGGATCAATTCAGACCCGGCCGGGCATGGACATTGATAAACCTCAGCCCCCCAACAGCACTCAATATCCAATTTAAAGGGCCAGCGATTGACTAAAATGAATTGCCCTTTCTCCAGACCGCAGTGGCCCACTTGCTCAGAATTAGCTGTCTGGTCCTGTTCGTCCGGGGGTTGTTTGTGTCTCTGCCACGTCTTTGTGTTTGTGCTGTTGAATGTTTTGCGAAAGGATTTTATATTTGCCACCACAATGATGCGATGATCAAAAGGCAAATTCAGGTCAGTCCATCAGTTCGGGACGAGGCTGTCAGACGTGACAGCTCACAGTTGTCTTTAAAACTCTTCTGCAGATAATGCCGTTTTTTTTTACTTGTTACAATATTCGAAAACAACTATTACATGCAAAAAAAAAAAAAAAAAATGCGACAGAAAACAAGTCAAAGGCACAAAATGTTTCTGGAAAACTTATGAGATCAGAAAATCTGCTTTAATGGTTTTTGCTGTCAGTCTACTTTTTAATGGGGTCTTTCCATATGTGTTCACTCTGCGACTTCAGGGCCAGCGACAAGAAACGCAACCTGGCGCAGCAGAAGGCGGAAGCTCAGCGACGGCTCTACGGACACGGATCCATGAAGAAACTCTCGGCCGCTTCCTCGGACTGGGAGAAACAACGTCACACGCTGGAGCGGAGGAGAGAAGAGCTGGTGAGAAACGTTCAAATGGAGCATTGCATTCATTTTAAAACCTTATTATCCACAAAGCAACGTCTTGCTGAAATTGTATTTGCACAGTGGCGCACCTGAAATGTCCCGAGTGCAACCGCAGTCCTCTAAATTGCTGACCACTGACCATCTGCAGCGCTGCGTCTGGGATACTAAGCACCTGTACAAGTGGTGCTTCTTAACTGTGGCCGAGGGAGTTGAGAGCGATATTCATTCATTTCCCCCACCCAGACATTCAACACCAGCCTGGGGATTAAAACAATGGCTGTACAATCATGAGCCACGATCATAAGTCATGAGATAGCTTTTAAGCTTTTTGGGCCACACCAAAATGAGCACAAAAGGTGGTTTGGCCTCAGCCTTTCAGGGACACATTCTTATAAAGGATGTGTTTGGAGCGCTACCATCAGGGACATTTACTACACGCAGCAATGAGTTGGAAAATTTTTTGTATAGTAGGGATGTCGCAGTGTAATTCTTTGAGTTTTTTTTGTATTTAGAATCTGCTGAAAGAGTCCCAATCTGATACCATTTTCTGACACAATATGCACTTAAAATCCATTAAAGTTATTAAAATCAATCCAATGCACGTTGCACAACTGAATAGCTCTGCAGCGCATCAAGAAAAAACTGCATTTCTGCCTCCAAGCTGTTCCTTAATGTTCTGCAGGTGATCAGGAACCTTGCTGTAAAACTCGATGGCGATGTAGTGTTCGAGGGTAGGATGTACACGAGCTCCACAGGACGGAGCAAACCTGCATTCTCTGCATGGATGTCAGAAAATGTATCGCAGATGGAGAACCGCTGGAGCTCACCTGGTTGAGCTGGCGTCACATGTACAGGGGCTATAGTCCCCGATGCAGAGGTCATGACTTCAAATCCTGCTCATGGCCCTTTTTCGCAGGTCCTTCCCCCGTTCTTCTCCCCCACTTTCCTGTTTCTCTCTCGACTGCACTATCAAATAAAAGCAAGAAGGCCAAAAAAAATTAATTAAAAGAAAATAAATACATAATGTATCGTAGATCAGCTGTAGTACCTGGTTGTTCCACCAGGTGGAGCCTCTTCCTGTTTAACACTGTAGAGACCAGAGGAGGCGTCACTCAGACTACAGTTCATTTTGGCAGCAGAGAGCATGATGACAGAGACTCTGAGGAGGTTAATGACCTCCGACCAGAGCTGATGTGTTCAGGACATACTGGGATTGATGGTGGCGTATCTAACAGAGTTCAACATAATATGTCCGTTGACTAAAACAGCAATATCAGCACAATTCAAATGTCCAATTGATTACTTATGGATAATACAACAGATTGTTGATTAAGAGAATCATTTAGGATTTTCTTCCCTAACCTCCTGCCACAAACTGTGCTCTTCCTTTACGACACCTGTGTGACAGCGGATAAAACAAAGAACCAGGTTTATGTTCGTGTTGACACGATTAGTTAAAAAATGAGTTCATATCTCTAGTCTTCATTCATTAAACAACCAAGTCTACACATAATTAGATTCCTGTACAACTAAGCTGCTTTCTCAATTAGATTCGCTTTTTAGGCAACTTTATTGTCATCGCACATGTCACAAGCACAAGGCAACGAAATGCAGATAGCATCCAACCAGAAGTGCTAAGGCGGTAACAATAAACAAAAATGCATTGCAAACTGTAAGTCCGTAACAAATTCTACACCTGTAATGCAAACAGTTACACAGATTGTTGGTGCTGAAAGATCTAATTCGTGGTTCCTGAAAGATTCAACAAAGTTCTCAGACGTTTTGGGAGACAGACTCGTGTTGTCGGACACCTAAAGCATCACGTGACAGACTTTCTGCTCTGCCATCCTGTCCGAAACGGTTTCTTAGATGACAAATGGTGAAGTTTTGGACCTTCGGGCTACAGCACTAACTGACACACTAGCAGCACGTTCTTTCTCTTGTCGTCTGTGGTATCGTGTCATTTCAATTAAAGCTGCATTTTTAAGGTCGTATAGTCACCGGTCAAAGGAGTTTCTGTGTACTGCTCACGATATCTGAACCTTTAACTAAATTGTTAAGAGTTGAAAATTTCAAAGCTTCTGGGTGCACATTTAGCTAAATTTGTGCCTTTTCTAACAATAAATGTAATATTTTAACTTTGTCTGGGTCCGAAAAGACGACCATTTGCATGCTGCGTTTAGATTTTTGTTCAGCGTATATACCAGTGTGCTGTTCTCAATAAAAGCTTGGATTTCTGCTCAGACTTTGCTACAGTTTCACTTACTTCTTACTCTGTGTCAAAGGAGTCAAAGTTATCGGAGACAAGCATACCATTTAATTATTTTCTCTTTGAAATGAAGGAGTCGAGGGAGCTTTTCTCATATGGGGAAAAGTGGCAGCTACCAGTACGCCTCCCACCCTCTTTGATTAGCCTTTTGATTAGCCACGACAGTAATCAGTGGGAATAAGGAAAGATGGTGCCGAGGCACTTCTTTTAAAAAAAAAAGAAAAGAAAAGGGCACCACCTCATCTCTGAGCGATGTTACGGCTGAAGTGCGAGACCAGGTTCAGGCCTATTGAAGGCACATATCGCTCAGTGCTCAATGATATTGCAGTGCTGGTTGGGGAGCAGTTCCCTCCTCTCTGCTTTATGCCCAATTGGCCAATTGAGCTCCACAATTACACCTTTGTAACATACTAATAAGGCAGTAAATGGAATAAATTATGAGCCATTGATGGGTGAGACTATTTGTACTCTTTCTCCCTCTTGCCCTCTGTTTCGCTCGACTTTATTCTTTGTTTCTAATAGCAGGTGCGGTTTGGTTGGCATCGATTTTCATTATTTTTTTCTCTTGTCCTATTTCTAGAAAGAGCGACTGGCACAGGTTCGCAAGCAGATTTCCAGGGAGGAGCATGAAAAGCAACATCTGGGGAACTACAGGTAAGAAGGAGGCGAAAAGGGGCTCTCCCTCCAGGAACTCCACTCACTGCACTCGTGCCAACTCGCTTACATTTATGGGGTCATCTGCAGAGCGCCAGGCTCTGAGGAGAATAAATAATGCTTCTGCAGACAGTAGAAACAAAAGAGAACACCAGAGAGAAGAATTAAGACCGAGAGAGCATTTAAAACGGAGAGAAAGAAAGAAAGGAAATCAGAGGCGGCGTGTAATGGCAAGGTTCAAATTGTTATTCCTCTATCCACAATGCAGCGTCTTAGAAGCCTAAATTAGCACATACACTTTGCTTAAGAGCTCCGAGCCATTTTCCATCCCCTCCTCGCCCCACGCTTCTCTTCTCTTCTCCTCAAACTCCATGTGGGAAGACATCGGGCGTGTCAATTTTTAATAGTCAACTCACAGATGGAGCGGATTCACCTTAGAGCATGACTCAGCAACACCGAGTTCAGATTCGCCACTTGTCCCGTGTAAATTCTTAATGCTGCCTCACGCCCTGGGTGCCTCTGCCTGCCTCCGTGTCTTTATCCACCGCACGTTTTCAGGTCTTGATTTTCTCTCGCGGTGTCTTTCCCACCCATGAGTTTACACACAAAAAAAAAAACCACACCGACAGATACGACTGACTCACACTCACTTCACCCTTCCTGCTGTCTCCCCCCAAGTCTAAGTGACTTCTTGACTCATCACTTGACTGGATGGCGAGTGAGAATGCCGATCCAGGCCTGCGTGAAGTGCTGTCACCCTCCTTCCTCTATTTCGACAGGCAGCCAGACAGTCAATCAGACAGGCTGAGGTCTGTCTGGAGCAGCCCTAATAAAGACCTCTTAGCATTCAAACGATGTCCCGGCGCAGCAGTGAAGTCTGATTAACACGCTGCTTCTCATTAGACGAGTTGGGGTAATGAACTTACTTACATTCGACTATTAGATGAAACCTGTATCAGGTACAGACAAGCCAGGACCCCGTGACATCTGAGGGGAAACCCAGCTGGTTGTTGCTGCTCATTTAGCATCATTTAAGCGGCTGGAGTCACTTTAAGGATACTGTTGACCAAAATAGTTTCACACTAATGTGCATGGAATGGGAATATTAGGTGGGGACACATGAGAGGAAAATAAACCCTCCAGCACAAACATTTTATCAAATGAAATGTCCATATGTTCAGATATGAAGGGTGCCAGAAAGACTGAGCAGTTAACACCCACCATTAAAGTGTTGACCTCAAGCTTTTCAGTCAGTCAAGTGATTTATGTGGCTCTTTAATGGTTGACAAGTTCTGGCTCTTTTAATGTTATGCTTTCAGTTCAGTTTATCCAGCTATTATAAAGAGACAGAAGTTTTTTTTTTTTTTATCATGTTTAAGAGTCTATTTGGAGAAGGGAAAAAGAATCTGTTCCACTAAAGAAAATGTACCATAGCAGTCGGAAAATCCCACGTGGAATAGTGCCACAGGAAGGAACTAAAGTGATTGGTTCATCTCAGGTCTCAACGTTCGGCTGATGCTTGATCCGAACCGCAGTGACTAAATGAACGCGTAGAATTGGGTCAACTTCTCCGACGATATGGAAATCATGCAGCCAGAACAGCAACTCTGCATAAAGCCGTTAATGGCGGACGGGCTGCAGTTGAAGTTTGAACTGCAGAAGCCATTGCACCAGAACTCACTAGTCATGTGCTGATATGTGCGACTAGCTTAGCATTAGAATTAGAATTAGAATAAAACTTTATTGATCCCTTCGGTACAAAACCTCAGGGAAATTGCTACACCAGAAAAAACAACACAACACCAACATAAAATCAACAACAACAACAGCATTCAAAATCAAAATCAGTATTCAGCATTCAAAATCAGCAACAACAACAGCAACAATTACTAATGCTTAGCATTAGTAGCTGCATTAGTAGGTTATTGATCAGTATTAATGAGAATCTGCCCATTATTTTGTCGTAACACAACATTTACTGCTTCTACGTTGACGCTGTGGTCAACTACAGCTTTTATAATTATTAGACCATCATGCCTCAAGTTTTCCGCCTGTTTTATGGCGGTTCTTGATTGGACAAAACTGTATTTTTTCTTATCTTTTGCTGATTCCAAGCCGGTCAGTGACAGATTTACTTTTTTTTAAAAAGATGTCCGACTTATTATCTCATTTTTTTTGGTTTCTTTGTTTTGTTGCGTGATAATCTAGTTTGGGTTATCCGTTGACTTTACAGCTAATGCACAAAATAATTGTGACTCCAAAAATGTTTTTGACCAACTAGTATGAACTTTGACTAGTATGAGTTTTTTCATGTCAATGCTGTAATTGTTTTACAATTATTGCAAATTCTAACTAAATGATCATCGTTAAAGGTCTGTTGTGTCGACTCTGTAAAGAAAACAACAGGTGGTCTAATAATTATTTCCAAAGCTGTAATTATTTTTATTCTAAAAGTAGGTCAGTCGATTCCAAAGGCCGACTCACGTCTGAGCTGAAGCCAAACCATTTCCCCACTTTCTGCTCTCCCACAGGCCGATGCTTATTTAGCCTAAAACATTGTTGTGGTTTGATGGCCGGAGCGATGACGTGGGAGAGCGTGGAGATGCATTGCGAGGATAAGCGGGCAGAGGTTTCGACATTGTTCTAATCCCATCAGGGCCAAGATAAACACTGAGCACTCGGTGTAGTCTTGAGGGCACATGTGCAGGATGTGTGAGCAGGCACATTAGCAGAAGCTGCAGAAAACAGTGGAGCGAGTAAGTGCACATCTCAGCGAGGGCGAGTGTGCGTTAATGCATTGGCATGTGAAAAGACTGACTCAAGTTTTTTTTTTTTAAATTCAAGGTCTCCATTAACAGTTTTCTTTCTGTGTTTTCTCTTTGCTCCCTCCTTCTTCATTCTTTTCCTTGATCCTGCTGCTCACCTTTCATTTGTCTCTCTCTATCGCCGAAATACGTTTTCCCTCCTGCTTGCTCTTTTCTCCGTCCGTCCACCTCTCTCACCTGCTGTGCTTCGACCTCAACTCGTCCCTCTTCTTTCCTTCCATCTCTGCATCCCCGCTCCTTCCTTCCTTCCTTCCGTCTTTCTTTCTTTCTTCCTCTTATTTTCTTTATCTCTCCTTACCAACTCTATTTCTCTCCCTTCTCTTATCCTTCTTACCTCCCAATTCTGTCACCGCTCCTCCTTTCACCTCAAATTCCTCCTTTGCTCAACCCCAATCCCCGTCTCCTCTTTCCTCCTCTTTTCCTCCTCTGCACTCCATCACTCCCGCCCTCTCCTCTGCAACCCCAAATCCTTTTTTTCTGTTCCTGTATTCCCTCATTTATTCTCTCCTTTCTCCCCTGCATTGATAACCCTTCTTCTTTGCCTTTCCTTTCTCCTACTTTTTTCCACTCCTCCCTCACTCTCCCTGCCTTCCTCTCTCTGCCTCTGCGGCCTACAGACGTATTTACCCCCCAGATGACAAGCTGCTGTTGGAGAAGTATGAAAGCCTGCTCTCGGCTGCCTTTCAGACCTTCCTCGCCGGGCGAGCTGCCTCACTTCAAAAGGAAATGAATAATCCTCTGAAACGAATGAAGGCACGTACGTCAGTGGCAGACTGTCACGGACACACACACACACATAATGGAAACCTGCAGAGACCCACACCCGAAAATATACACACAGTATGCAGACACTTGTGGACAAGCACATACCAAAGAAAAGAAACACACACACACACACACACACACACATTTCTATTAAGATTCTGCCCACAGAGACAAAAAAGGATGCGCAAATAATGCGGAAAGTGTGCCGCAGTCCTTGGTATTTGTTAGAATGTCTGACAATATGTCCTTCTTCTCCTCTCTATCTGCCTCGCCTTCCGACTGTCATTCACTCTATCTTTTCACAAATATTTATTGTGCTGTGCACACGAGCTTTTAAAAGCAAATCAAATCCCACACAACAATGTCGTTTTTGTTTCTTTATGGTTAGACTCTCCTCAGTTTCCTTCATCCTCTCTCTCTCTCTATGTGTATATGCTTTTGTTTTTTTTTTATATCTTAGTCAATGTTAGTTTAGAGGAGCCTTCAAAGTTGATAATAGATGCAGTCCACTCCATTGAAATCACTTTTCTACAGGTTATACATTAATGTATGACAACGATTAAGAGATTTAAACATAAATATGTTAATGCCCACACACACACGTACAAACCTGTGTGGTCGCGCATTCATCGATGTGTCTTTATAGGGCTGGAAGTCATTGTATGCATATCAATGCCAAAGCCTCTCTGGTTGCAGCAGGAATGTAACTGCAGCTGAGCTTTGAAGGTAAAGGTATGAAGAGCTTTTGCGAAGGAGAAAAGTTGATTTCCATACCACATAACCTGACAGGGGGAGCGAGCAGCAGCAGCAGCAGCAGCAGAGAGAAAAATGTGGAGTATTTAAACGGCGATGAGAGGAGTGAAAAAATAATCACAGTTAAAAGATGGCGAGGTACTGATAGAGATCGTTGTTTTGTCACTTTTGTTTTCTGTAAAATACTTTTCACAAGGCTTGAGTAGAGGACAAAAAAAGGGGACAAAAAGAGGCAATTTTCTGTCTTCATATCTGGTATTCAAGAAGAACAAATCAATGAAACAAAAAGATACAGAGGAGGGCATTGTGGAATATTTAAACCCATGGAGGGAAGAAGCATTTATGAGCAGGAATGATGCAGATGAAACAAAAATCCTTAACTGCTTTTGGCAACTGAATAATAACAGTGCACACTAAATATGGATATTTTTGACAGTGGTATTGACATTACAAACTCATATCAAAGCTCTGTCACATGCAACTATTGCAGCTTTTGTAGAAAGTACCTCAACAGATTCTAGTCTTTCGCAGTTTGTTTGTCAAAAAAAAGTTATTGTGCGTCCTTTCAAGAACGGAATCTGCAGAGAATTTTTAAGGGGGATGTCAATCAAAGATCAGGCGGAGCAGAGACATCAGGTCTTTTAATTTAGTTCGCACACAGAGATGTGGATTTTCTTCTAGTGTTTCTTATCTAATAACAAGATCGTGAGTGACAACTGGACGGCCTTATGAAGGGACGCGCTGAGATACAAATCTGGACCGTTTATGATAAAGAAGAGATGTTCCTGAATTTCAATAATATGTAGGCTTTGTTATCATTATGTTCATTCTTAATTACGAGAATAAAACACGCGTTTAGGTTGAGGTTTTGTTTGCGCAGCTTGCAACAACTTTTATTTATTTTCTGGTGTTACAGCACTCGTTAACTGCCGGCATGATTTGCAACGCTGCTGTGTGGATAGATTACTGATAATAGCCTGTTTAAGCCTGAAAGTTTAAGTCATTTTGCCTTTTTCTTTGGCAAACTGGCTCTGCACCCCTTAGTGTTGAACATTAGTTGGTTTATTTACCACCATATGTAATTTAAACTTAAAGATAGCAATTTAAATCTCAAGATTAACCTTAAACTTAACTATTTTTATGTGCAATTATTAAAGTATATTTGGTTGATTGAAGAAATAAGGTGCAAATTTGCTAGTATTTACTGTGAAAATAGCAAAAGTTTACAGTGTAAAAATAGAAATGAAAAATAATAACCCTCTGGTTTTATTTATCATCAGACAAGCTCTGGCCCTATAGTAGTTCTTTTCGCTGCGAGAGGTCATTTTCTAGCGTGCCCTCAACATATCCATCAAGTCTGACATACGCTGAACTCACACGGCTCCTGTTTGCTGCCTGTGTGGACTTCTCACGGCCACGAATTGAAAAATGGCATGTATTGTCACACTATCAAAGAAAGTAAAAACCCGCGTCGTAATCCCAGCGATGACGTGCTGATGGACCGAGGAGCACCCTCCCGACTCGAGCTGCTGTGCCGCAGAAAACCCAGCCGCAGGTTACGCTGGTTTGTGCAGGGTTTGCATCACCCTCCTCCCCGCTTCCATTACCGTTCGGTTGACGGGTACGCATCAAGTTGTTAGCTCTGTTGTTAGCTATCTGCGTTCTCCCGCCCACTCAGCCGATGCCTTCCCGTTCCTACGATCTTTTTCAAACTGAAAATAAAGAGGGAAAAAATGTTGTCGAGCAGGTGCACGCTCAGTCGGCATGCGGGGCTTTATCGGTAAAATAATAATAAAAAAACCCGAAAGTACACAGACTGCAAACGTCGTCTTGCTGTACTTCACAGTCACTGCGGATTCTACAAATATATGCACATTAAGCAGGGATATTAGGAATCTCTAAGGCTCATTGGGTTTCGTTTTTTTTTAACCTGAAAACTTTTTAAAAAGAAGTATTCTGCTGTAAAAAAAAGATTACACACTCTAGATTGAAATTGATTTCAACCTGGATTTTATGCTCTCATGAATCAGAAACTTCTTATTCCTGTTGCAAGACGACACTGTTCACCGGGCTGTACAGTTCGGGACAGCTCGAAATTTACTAATAGTAGTAAAGAGTAAAGGAAGAAACGGGAAGAAAACACCAGTAAACCGCTGATTATGTTGTACATCAGGGCAGAGCTCCTGCACCGCGTTGAAATCTGCAGCTTCTGTCCAACTAAAGCTGTCTACAGCTAAAAAAATAGATAAAAATATATGTATATATGTATATTAGGATATACATATGACATAATGCTGTCATTTACACCACCCCCTATTACAACATCATAAATAATTAGAATAAAAACAAGAATAATAGACACAAAGTAGACACAAGCCTTGTAAAAGTAGAATTAATGGCAGCACTTTTGCATTGGATAGCATTAGATTTCACAGCTGTGCCTAATAAAGTGGTCGGTGAGTATATGTTTTGTTTTTTTTTTGTTCTGGCTCAGGGGTTTGTCTCACTGCGGTTTAAATAAATTCCTAACCAGTGAGAAGCATCTTCAGACTTTGACGCCACAAGAATGTACATGACAGTGATATCTGTCAAACATCCAAGAAACAGCCACAGAATGCCAGAGAAGAAGCTGTTAACAATAAAAAAAATGAGCTACAATACAGAAAAGCGTGCTCCGGACACAAAAAGTGCAGCCAAAAAGTGACTCTTTTTTGTTGAAAATAGTTTTTAAATTGACGTGAACAGAAACCATTAGTGACGGCAAGTTACTGTGACTCGCAGCTTCATGGTGGATGAGACGACACATGCAGGGAATAAAACAGGGATGCACGATATCGGATTTAGTCGATATCTGATATTTCAGTGTTTTCCAACTCGTTTTGGCTCACGCAGATAGAAGCACATCCATCAGGTCTCTCCCGAAGAGAAATTAACATATTATGACTCCAGCTGTTACTGTGATGTCCTGCTGGCAGATGCACATATTAAGAATAAAAAAGAAAAGTGCTTTTCAAATATTTACAGGGCAAAATAAGAAAACTACTCCAACTTACATGGAAACTATATCGTATTTATTGTACACAGTTAGTATAAAATGTTTGATTTGTGAAGTGATAATCAAAAACGATAATCTTAGCAGAGTTGGGAGCTGCTCCGTGATGACAGTGCAGCCACGTCGGAGCTCTCTTTGGTCTAAACTGGCTTCATTTGATGCAGCGTCACTGTTTTAGAAACACTCTAAGAGAACGTAAATAGCATTCGGTTTATCTGTAATTTCTGTGCATGTGTCAAGTCTGGTTTACTCTCGTGCTATAAAACATGTCAAAACATCCATGTAATCCGCTTTGGTGCAATTTAACAAGGTAATGGGCCTCCAGTGATTTTTTTTTTTTAAACCACCGTGGGTGGGGAAGCTTTCGCCTCGTGAAAGGTTATTGAGTTGGCAGACTTTTACCGCATAAAAACGCCTGTAATTTGTAAATAAATTCCTCAAAGCATGGCAAAGTGGTATTTTCCTTTCCATTATAATTAACATAATGTACAAAAAATTCAAATTTTAGCTGTTAGCTCCTCAGGACCACTTACACAGCCCATTTAGTGGAGAATATGTTACAGCAGCCATCTTATTGAATGGATGGGCACAACGCTGCAGTTTCCTTACATTCAGTTTAGGCATTTGGTGCATTAAAAGCTGCAATCCTAATAATCAAAACTGCACGAGACATACAGTCTAGATTGCTTATGAAATACCTAATATTAATATATAGAGTAAGGTTTAAATTAATATACCCAACTCACTCATTAGTTATCTTTTTAGACTTTCTTTATTGTCATTGGACAAAAATACAACCATGAATTTGGCAACGAAATGCACTGCTTGGCTACTGGAGTACACAGAACTGGAGCTTGTGAGGCCGTGTTCATAAATACAAATATAACTATAAATAATATCAATGTATATATAAGAAAAACTAGTGCAATGGAAAAAGAGCTAAATTTTTAAAAAATATAGAAATAGTATGAAAATAAGTGTATTGTCAAAAAGTGTTACGTGCAAAAATATAAACAGAATAAACAGAATTTTGCTCGACTTCTAGTAGATTTCTTCTACTTCTTCTGAGGCCTTAATTGAAACACATCTGCATCTGACCACCTGATGCAACGAGGCATCCCAGATATTTACAGCTTCACACCAACACAAATGAAACAAAAGCTTGTGTAGTTATATAAACCTGCACTGAATCTGATTTTTAAAAAAACAAAACAAAACAACACATGACATTTAGAGAAAAAGCAAAAATTTCCCACAAACTCCTCGCGTCCATTCATGCATACTTTAACGCAGAAAGTCTTCCAGACGAGGAAACACGTCGCGGTGCACAAAACCCCCCAGCAGCACGGTGAGCCAGAGGCACGCTGACCTTTTCGTGGACCCCAGAAAGCAGCTTGATGGTTAATCTGAGAGAAAACAATCACTTTTCATCTGCGTTTGAGCAGCAAGTGGGAGCTTTGTTATGTCGCGGCCATGAAGCAACATTAATCACCTTTGCTTGCATTTCAGCCGGGGCCAAATGGCCGAGGCTCGAGCATGTTGGCGAAGGCCGGCACGCCGCCTCGTCCAAATTCAGCCTCTCTGAGCGCTGCCAGCGAGCTCAGCCAGCTCCTCTCTCCTAAACCCCCAGATAAGGCACATACTGTACGCCTGTGAAGTCCAACTTATTCATCCCTCCCTCTTTTTTAATCAGTGAAGTTTCTTGTTTGCTCACACCTCGTGTCACTTCAGAGCCATTGGAGAAACATCACCTCAGTTTACCAGTTTTTTCTGGAGAATTAATGTCACAATCTACGCTGAAATTTCAACACAGAGCAGAAAAACAATTAGAGATTTAAAAAAAAAAAATGAAATTGTAGAATTTAACTCAGTTTTGTCCAAATTGTTGAGTCATCAAAGTAGCCACCTTTTGTAGATTTACCTGCCAAACGCACAAATGGAAAATCAGACAGTTCTGCTTTTCTGTCCAGTTCATCCCAAACCATCTTGGCAGGTTCAGGTCTGGAGACTGTTTCTGCCATTGTCCTGCTGTCTGGTTCTTCTGAGGTTCTTTAGTTGTGATGTAGCTTATCAGAAGGTCTGATTTGGGCTTTTATCTTGCTAACCAACCGGGCGTAGACGGGTCCAAATCCTGCTTCAGAAGGTGTCTTAACTCAGTCCATTCTAACGCTGTGTTCATGCAGACGGAGGGTTTGTAAGTTATTAAAAGTTGGGACTCAGCTATTGAATGTTTGCATCAATTTTCAAGGCTTAATTTACTTCCATTGCTGCAGAAAAGCTGTTTGTTGTTCGCCCATCGCTTGTTCCCGGCGTGAAAGTAAAATCAATGGCGCGCTCTTAGCTTATCACTTATTTATTTATATGTTAAATTATCTATTTGTTCATGTGCGTTTCTGTAACTGGGAGAACTAGTTCATGTCAGCGGAGCGATTTTTCAACCAGCTCAGCATGTTTGTGTGCAGGTCGGTTTCAAGAAAAGGCCTCGGAGGAGGAAAAAAGGCTCGACATCCACCCGAGGAGATGTGTTTCCATCTGTAGAAGGCTTTTTGTCTTTGAAAAGTTGCACTCAGCATTTCTTACATGGTACAGAAAACTGATCACAGGGTTAAGCTTACAAAACTATGTCTGCTGTCCAATATAAAAAGCATTCCTGAGTTTTCTCTGGCTCTTACATTTGTGCCTCTCCTTTGAGAACCTGGACAAATCGTTATTCTCCATATTGTGCACAGTATTACATTTGAACATTTCAGGCAATACTTCCACAGCATCTAAAAAGAGGCTGTTTTGTAGCTGTGGAATTTACCCAATTTTTGAGCTTTTTAGAACCCTCTTAGGTCATTTACTGCACTTGAATGGCTTAAATTTCAATAAAATTGCCAAAATGTGACTGGTAGTTTACAAAACATCAAAGCATTTGATTGCTCCTTGTCAGTGTATCATGAAGATTGAACTCCCTTTTTACTTTCTGCCGATGCTTTGTACTTTATTTTTTTGTATGCAACTAAAATCAGCACCTTTGGCGTGTTCTCATCCGCCTTGTGTTTTGTGTTGGTGCGCAGGAGGAGGACATTTTGGATCTGCTGGAGCAGTGTGAACTGGACGATGAGAAGTTGATGGGCAAATCCTCCAGGCAACGAGGCCCTAAGGTGAGTGAGAGGCAGAGAGGGAGGGAGGGAGGAAGGGAGGCAACAAAACTGAGAGGAATTCAGGAGAACAGGGGCCACAAGCCTCATGGGACCGAAGGAAAAAGTGCAAAGAAGAGTGTCAGAGAGAGAAAGAAGGAGGGAGGCAGGTAGTCAGACGCCTGGAGCTAACGTCCACAGAAAGCACATAGGACGTGATTCAGAAAAATAAAGAGGGGGGGTAGTGGGTTAGGCAAGAAAGAAAAGAATCAGAAAGAGGCCCAAGGAAAAGACCCGACTCCCCCAGGGGACAGCTGTCAGCCTGTCTCCCCGCTATCTTTCTGTCTATCTCCCTCTTTTCCTCTCTCTCTCCCTCTGTCACATGCACCTATACGCCCCCTCGATTTCCCACGACAGCACATTACTCCCTCCATCACCTTGCCTCAGTCTCCTCCCTTCACCTTTCCATCCCTTTCTTTCCCGGCACATCTACATCCATCCCTCACTCGAGGGCTAAATTGGCTGTAACACTCAAAGAGTGTGTTAGGGACTCGACAGGGCAGTTCAGCACTGTATTAGGGAGGCCTTTGCCGGAATGAGGACTTGTTCAGACACAATCACTGTTGTCCAAATTAATTTGGGCCCCGTCAGTTTGGATGTTGCCGAGTGTGTGGAGAGAGACGTCGGGAGCAGAGGGAAGAAAGTGCCGTGACGGATAGATTCTCTCCTCGGGGGTGTAGCGCTCACAAGCCATCTGCTGAAACTGAACCAACGAGTGTTTGAAAGCTAGACGAGAGGAGTGAAGCAAAGGGATTAGAAGCAGGATTTTTGAGGGGAGGAAGAGACGCTGAGGTTTGCGATTGCCGAGGAAGTGTTCAGGTGGAGAGGACAAAAGGCAGAGAACAAAGAGAGGCTGGGAGTGGAACGGGGAAAGAGAGCTAGCGAGTGTCCTCAGGTTCCTTCTCTTTTACCTTCCTCCAGTGTTCTAATTTTGATTTGCAGCCGATCGCATTTGTGTTGCCATCTCTCCCCCTGCTCAGTATTCAGCTTAATATCACCGACTCACTCTTCCAAGCTTCTTGTCTTCACTGTGGTTCCATCCACACCCTCACCGAACCGGTCGAGGCAGACGGCCGCCCTCCCCCAGCCTGGTTCTGTTGGAGGTCTTTTTTGTTCTTCCTGTTAAAGTTGAGGTTTTTGGTTCCTTCCTGCTGTCGCTAAGTGCTCGCTTAAATGTTGGCGTCCTGTAAATAAAATGGAATTGAAATTTATGCAGTTCTTGGTTTCCAATAATCAGTATCGTCCCTGAAAAACCCATCAAAAACCCCTCTCTCGTCTGATCTTTGTGTCTTACTCTGTGCTGTTTAGCCTGTTCTATGCTATGCTAACGGCTAAGTTACCCTGACTTGTTTTACAGTGTGTGGAAAACACTAACTGATAATGCTTTAAGATCTGGACCTTAATGGGAAATAAAAGCGACAGAACACTGCAGAAGACAAGCTGTTCAATCTCAGTTGGTTTAGCGTACCAACATCCTGCCGTCATCACTAGAATAGAAAACATTAAGCCTATTAAAATATAACATATATTGTATATATAATAGGTATCGGCCCAGAAAAGCCCAATCGGCTGACTACTGCTCCTCAGCCATATCCACAACTTCCTTCCTGTCTCATCTTTTTGTCTTACTTTCTGCTGTTTATCCACAGTCTGCTATGCTAGCAGCTA